CCAGCGTTGTTTCAGGGGGAAGCTGGGGGCTGTGAGGTGTTCCCCAGCGTTGTTTCAGGGGGAAGCTGGGGGCTGTGAGGTGTTCCCCAGCGTTGCTGGAGGAGGTGGGGGAGCACATGAGATAAGTTACCAGTGTTTTCCATAGAGCCAGTGACCTCCCCACGTCAGCAGGCAGACTCCAGCCGTTGTTTTCTTCCAGTGATTTCGAAGTGTTTTAAAGAACACAGTCATCTTCTCCTAGAGATTTGCTGGCTTTGTAGAGCCAGAAACAGAAAAAAGAAAGCCATCATTACCCGAGGTCGGCAGGCAGAGCCCCTCTCACGCTCCCTGGCCGCCTTTCACCCTCCCCTGCCTCTTGGCCTCCCCAAGCGCAGCCTCTCATCTTCTCCTTCCTGGCCTGGTCCCAGCCAGTTCTCACCCTGCCCGCCTACCTTCTGTTCTTTCTCTCGACACTTCCTTCCACCCAAATGCACCTTCCTTTCCTTCTCAGGTCACTCTCTCCTCACTGTATTAGGAGAGGGGACAGGCAGAGAGAGGAAGGGAATTCCAGCCTTCTTCCGTTTTTTCTATCCTCTACAGCCTCACTATGCCACTGATGAAGAGCACATGTCTATCCATTACATACAAAGGATCCAACAGTTAGTAATGTAAAGGGCTTATTCATAACTAGACGAAAACACCAGGCCCTCGACAGGAAAATGAGCAGAGGACACGCACAGGAAACTCAATGGAGAGGAAGTACGTGTGGCTTCGGAAAAATGTCCAACTTCCTGAGTGACCAAAAGCACAGAGTTACAATGGACCATCACAGAGGTGGAAACCCTGGTGGCGTGGTGGTTAAGAGCTGAGGCTGCTAACCAAAAGGTCAGCAATTCGAATCCACCAGGTGCTCCTTGGAAACCCTATGGGGTAGTTCTACTCTGTTCTATACAGACACTATGAGTTGGAATCGACTCTACGGCAACAGGTTTGGGGTTTTTTTTGATAAGTTTTGGAGCCCTGGTGGCCCAGTGGTTAAGAGCTTGGCTGCTAACCAAAAAGTAGACAGTTCGAATACACCAGGTGCTCCTTGGAAACTGTATGGGGCAGTTCTACTCCGTCCTACAGGGTCGCTATGAGGTGGAATCGACTCCACGGCAATGGGTTTTTTTTTTTATCAGTATTCAAAGTAGAGCCCTGGTGGCACACTGGTTAAGCACTCGGCTGTTAACCAAAAGGTCGGTGGTTGAAACGCACCAGCCACTCACCAGGAGAAAGATGTGGCAGTTGGCTTCTGTAAAGAGTACAGCCTTGGAAACCCTGTGGGGCGGCTATACTCTGTCCTATAGGAACGCTATGAGTCAGAGTCAACACGACAGCAATGGGTTTCGTTTTCTGGTTTATCACTATTCAAAGCAGCCCTAGTGGTGCAGTGGTTAAGTGCTTGGCTGCTAACCGTAAGGTCGGAGTTTGGAACCCACCAGGTGCTCCGCGGGAGAAAGACGTGGCAGTCTGCTTCCATAAAGATTAAGCCTTGGAAACCCAACGGGGCAGCTCTACTCTGTCCTGCAGGGTCGCTAGGAGCTGACTCAACGGCAGTAGGCTTGGTTTTCAGGTTTATCACTATTCACCTATAAAATTACGAAATTTTTCAAAAATGATCATGTTCACCGATAACAAGATAAAATGAGGAAGACACTCTCAAGCACTCCCATAAAGAAGGTAAATCAGGATGACTTTTCTGAAAGCAAGGTGACAACGTAGCCTTATCCTGCTTGTTTTCTTCCTGGCTCTGAGGGCCCTGTGAATCCTCTATCTATGTGCTGACTTGTTTATCAGCTCACCCCACTAAAATGGGAACCCCAGAGAGGAAGGATGTCCTATTCTGACCACTGCTGTCTCCCCAGAACCTACAGTAAGATCTGGCAGCTAACAGTCATTCAGTAAAGATCTGCTAAAAAGTAAGTTAGGCAGTCATTAAATGTTTTTCACTAAGAATTTTTACTGATGTGTAAAAAAACTCAAAATAAAATGTAAAGTGAAATTGACAGAATGAAAAGACATATATGATTGGTATTATCCCAACTATGTTCAAATGTGAACATAAGTGGAAAAAGCACCAACGGAAATAGACAAAAAATTAAAAAATGGTACCCTCCTGATTGTGGAATGATGGGTAAAATTTATTTTCTTTTTAAAATTGCAATGTATTTTCTAACTGGCGCAAGGGTTAAGCACTCAGCTGCTAACCAAAAGGTCAGCAGTTTGAATCCACCAGCAGCTCCATGGGAGAAAAGACCTGTTGATCTGCTTTCCGTAAAGATTTCAGCCTGGGAAACCCTATGGGGCAGTTCTACTCTGTCCCATAGGGTTGCTTTGAGTTGAAAGCGACTCAACGGCACACAACAACATGTTGAGTCGCTTCCGACTCACAGCGACCCTGTGGGTACCAAAAGGAACTGCTGCACAGAGTCTTCAAGGCTGTGAACTTTGGGAAGCAGATCACCAGGCCTGTCTTCTGGGGCACCTCTGGGTGGGTTCAAACCGACAACCTCCAGTAATCAAGCGCTTAACCATTTGCCCACCCAGAGATTCCCAAGTTTTCTATAATGAATATAAATTATTTTCTAAACAGTTGAAACCCAAAACAAAATACTTTTAAATCTGTGTGTGAGGTAAATTATAAAAAAAAAAAAAGCTGCTCTCACTAAAGACTTAACCCACTGCCGTCGAGTCGACTTCCGACTCATAGCAACGCTACAGGACAGAGTAGAACTGCCCCATGGAGTTTCCAGGGAGCGCCTGGTGGAGCAGCCATAGCTCTGCACCACTGCGCCACCAGGGTTTCCCACTAAACACTAGTTCTTTTATTATTCCGTTAAACACCATTGGTTAAAATTTCTCTCAAGGTAAGAAAACATCCTTAGCACAAGCAACAACAAAGCTGGCGCCATGGAGCCCACCCCCCGTAATCTGGCACAGTCCAGGCTAGCAGACAGGATCCCACAGGCACGCCTCCCATAACCTGGCACAGACCAGGCTAGCAGACAGGATCCCACAGGCACACCCCCGTAACCTGGCACAGACCAGGCTAGCAGACAG